CTCTACAAACAAGTTTACGGAAAGGAAACCGAGATGACAAAGTGCATCCTAAAATAAAAATCAACACATTGCAGTTTCAAATGAACTGTATGATCAAAAATTAAGGAGTATGTTCCGCTGTTCGATCTCGAAGGTGCCTCACACACACACACACAATACAGCACTGCAAACACTCCAGCCTGTTCATTATCAGAATATTATATATTAATATAATAATAATTAATATATTACACAGTGTGTGTGTGTGTGTGTGTGTGTGAGTGTGAGTGAGTGAGTGAGTGTGTGTGTATGTGTGTGAGAGAGAGAGATCTGGGCACATGCATACAGTGGGATTCCAGTGGACATAATTTCTTGTGGTTAAATTACACTTGAACTAATTATCATTGAGAATGCGGTACATTGATACCCGAGAAGGTACCGTACGAGCGGTTGAGAGTCAACTCTTCAGCACTGAAGAGCTGTTCGGTTAAAGTGGAAGTGAAGCAGTCAGTCAAGTTTACATTATTTAGTAAACTGATATCCACTGATTGAAATATATAACAAACACAATTAATGTAACCATTTTAAAGAAAAAATAATGTTTTGTTATAGTGTTTGACCGCAGCGTGTGACATCACAGGGTTAGTTTGACGCTTCTCAACATTACAACTGATCCGACGGTTTTGAGTCACATTTAAACTTTGCACTTCAAATAAACCATTTATTTCACAGTGCATGCAGCTTCATTAGGATTGAAGGTCAATGTCTTGATCAGTTTCCAAACCCTTCACCCTCTCTGTTCCTCTGTGGTGGAATGAGCCCCAAACTCCGACACGTATCGACAGAGCGCTTCAGCGTCGAATTATCTGGAATGTCTGTGATCGATGATGATCAGATCGTGGTTCTTCTCCTGAAAGCTCTCCAGCGCTGCTTCTGGTGTTCGGGCCACATTATACCTGAAACCAGCGCGTTCACACGCCCAGCAGAAGCTGACTCTGAGCATGGTCTTTGGCAAACACTAACAGTACATGCAACACACACACACACACACTGAGCCGTCATCAGTGTGAGACAGTGCTGAATAAAAACACATTCAGCCACAACAACTTCCATCAATAACAGGAACATAATACGAGCTGATTCACTGGAGTGGTTCAGAAGAATGAAACACTGTGTTTGTGTGGATGGACGGCTCGGACGCTCGGCGTGTGTTCTGAGGGAATGTGGGATCAGCTGGGAGGACAAAAACAGGAAAAGGAAATCACTTTTCACTTTATAATTATTATTTAAAATTCATTCAAATAAATTCAATTTTGCCACCCAACCGTGTCTGAATTACATTCAGGAGCACATAAGCTGTTGTCAACACTGCCCTGCACCTGTATAAAATACCTAAGCTTAAATTGCTACATTATATTTCTCAGCAGCGAAAGTAACACTATGGCGCAGGTAGGCTACTTCACACACACATCTCTTTCTCGCTCAACAGTTAATTCAAATAAATGCTATAATTAATTCAAATAAATGTAATCTTACTGCACTACTTAATATATTTGTCTGCTCTGGCTTATTTAAAGCGAGTAGAATGATACATCTAACAAGTTGTAACTGACGAAAATAACCGTCATTTTTATCGTTCCGGTCAAATATTGCAGCGCAAATATTATTAACATCTTTAATATGTGAATGCTGGCAAATGACCATGGCATAAGCGGGATAATCAACGGCTAGCTGTGCATTAAAAG